CAGCATGGGCATCTAATTTAACAATAACTAAGAAAAAGAATATTAATTATAAATAATGATGGCAACCATAAAAATGATGACAACGATGATGAAGATGATAGTGATTTAAAGATGATAATCAAAATGTGCTTTGTGAAAATGAGATGAACTTGAAATTACATTATATAAGGTAAAAAGGTCTAATGACCGTTATACTACCTGAACAATCAATCCCTACAGCTTTTGAATGTGTGTGTTCACAATCGCTTACATTATAATCTGCTGTACACAGTCCAATGTTTTGATCAGAAGGATTGCAAGCTAATGATTTGATATGCATCGGTGAAAGACCTCGCCCGATTCCAAAACTTGACGCATCTGTGCTCCTATTGGTGTATAAAGGAAGCAAATCCAATCTCTCGAAGTCAGCATGAATGTGAAAGATATATTGTGCCAAATACTAGTGATATGGTTTTGCATACAAGGAATGATGGTATGCAAATAAATGAATTCGTTCGTAACCAACTATTTTATTGTTCATTAGGCGGTAGAACATTAAAGTAAATACATACTTCAAAACAAAAACCACGTTTCATCAATTATAATCAAATATTCTTTTGGAAATGATAATTGTCTAATACGGCAAATAAATAGGTTGCAAGTTCACTTGAAAGGTAGTATATAGAAGTTTACATCTTAACACCAAAATATACGTACAGGTATTTAAATCCCATTGTTTCACAAGCTCTCAATGCATTAGAAGTATCCCAGGAATCATAGCAAACACTTCCCCATACATCATTAGACTTTATTTCAAGTCTACCTAGCCATGGCCCGGGACCGTCTACAACTCGCACGTTAGAATTATCTGAAAAATACTTAACTTTTTAAGTATTATATGTGCAATTGTCAAAACTTAAGTATTAAATAATATTACATTATTAAACGTTATCATATTTTTGGCATCAATTTAAAACTACACATTTAAAACATATTTTTTCACATACACGCGGCGTCGAAGCTATAAAGGCTTTTAAAAACGAATACACAGTATAAAACTTTTTACGTCCCGATAGCGTTAATAAAACTATCGCAAAGGGGCTAAGTAAGCTTACACTATAGTCACTCAATTAAAAAGGGGCCTTTTAACATTTTACAAAAAGGGTTAATTATATAGTGTAGTTTGAATACAAATTTAGAAATCTCGTTCAAAAAATTTTAGTTTTACCCTAATCATCAATATATTCATTAAATAATTAAAAAGATTTTGAAAGTTTAATTTAATTTTGAATAGTTATATACAAAATAGTATCATCATCAACAACAACGCATATTATGCAGACACTTAAAAAATAGTTGTACTTATTTTATCTGTATCATACTTTAAAACTGGTAGTAAACATAACAAAAGAAAAGCATATATGATTTTTTAGTTATCTACCAGTTTGAATAAAAAAGACAGATGATTGGGTCATAAAATCATCAGCGATCGTCATTTATTAAACGGGCATCGCTAAAATCATCTAATCACCTATTTAAAATTTTGAATATCTGTGCAATACAATCATTTTATATTATTAAGCTTCCATATTTTTAAATCAATTAATACTAAAAATAATTATTACTAAACAAATTTTTTGTGAAAGTACTAATATTTCTACATTAATGTAAAAAAGTGAAACCTAAAACCATAATCTGACCATACAAAACAAAAACAAACAAAAAACAACAAGAAAAAAACTATAGCAACTATTATAGAAAATCAATTAATAACTAAGTACTGGTATGATTGTAATAAAATTTTGAAAGGAGAAACATAACAAGAGCAGCGAAAAAAAAATCAGTTACGTGTATCTGTTTATGACCATGATAATGAATAAATTGTGTTAACTTTGTATCTAAGTTTATTTATATTCGCCACCAGTTGCCCATATGAGCGAGTCCTCCAGAAGGAAAATACTCATTTTATATTTTGGAGGAAAGTGCAAGACACAGATACAGAAAGATGCCATGGGCAATTCCAGATACTTCTCCTGGTTTTTTAGCATACCAAGTGTTTAAGCACTCATACACAGGATCTCGATTTTAAGTCTTATCCGACAGACTGATAAGTGATTTTAGATAGCCAGACTGGGAATGGAACCATCATTGTCGTGAATACAAGTCTCGTGTTCTAACCGATTGCGACTTGCTGACTGGTTAAATGAATATACATTTTGTTCACTGCGTATGTATCAGGTTTTTTTTCATTTGGTATCGGGGTTTTATGAAGATTCGTCATAATCAATGGAAAAAAAAACAATTTTGTGAATTTAGCATGCCATTACAAAACCTCTAAACATGAGTGATAACTAAATATCGGAAATAACGCACTTACAATGAAAGAGGAAGTAGAAAATAGCTTACCGGCAGAAATTGGCTTACATTCAACGCCTACACTGTTTGAGACAGAGCACGTTGAACTTTTGAATAACTTGCCCATTCTGCACATCTCAAAACTGCCTTCACTACCATCACATTTTGGTCTTGCAAGATAAGTTGTTCTACCATTTCCATAAGTTGAGTTGTAGCTTACGACAGGGTCTGTGTTCCTGAAAAATATACTACAGCTAAAAACATTGATAAAAAATAGTATGAACGTGTACGCATGACAATTTCTCTGTGTGTAATCTAAAAGTGCCATTGTTATTTCTTAAATGGTAAAAAGCTATATCTTATAAAGTATTCTAAACAATTTATTACCATTGTAATTATATTGTTTCCATAAGCTTATGATCGATTCTCTCTCGAGAGAGTTGTGAACATAGAATGGTTCCGTGTTTTTAACACACATGAATACTGCACGTAAACAACTGAATTAAATGTTCAGGAACATTATATAATGTTATTTTAGTAATAGTCTTAAATACCGTCTAACAATGATTTTGTCCATTCTGTCTTAAAATAATAAACTGAATATTTTAAAAATCAAACAAACATTTTGGGCGCAGATACATAGCTTTATACAATTTAAGCATGCAGAATGGTTAAGTGGTGGTCTGCAAGACAAAGCAATATATCCTATGAAATGTACGAGTACCAGTATCCTATTTCTCTTCATATTACTCTAGCATCAGTTTTGTTCCAACCGTCATTACAATACGAATACCATGTTCCAGACTCGAGAAATTCTACGCGACCTTGTGACTTTGATCGTCCATCTGCTAATCGTTTTTGATAAGGAACTACAAAAAAGTGGAATATCCATGTATAATGTTGAATTCTGCTTAGGGCGGTGCTAGGTGGAATGGACGGTATTTCGGACAAATTGTTGCTGGTCATAAAAAGTTTTATCATCCGGCCTGAGATATTTTGTTTTGGTCGTGTTAGGCGGTATTCAATCAATGCTGTTTTAAAGTTTGTAAAAAAATGAGATACATGTATTAGTGAACATTATCCACTCGAAGAATAGAACACCAGATACAATATTAAAAATCAGAAATACCCGAACACCCTAAAACATGTACGGATGTTGCAATAAATGTCGTTTTTAATCGCTTTTTAGTAGAGTTGACATTATCATAATTAACTCAAAAAGAGATATAAAGTTCTTCTTTCTTGTTGTCAATTTGATTCTCCTTGGCCCTGGTTGTTGTTACTGGGCCTTTCCTAGTTAATCTTGTTTATCATATTCTAAAGATTTATTTTATAATGGTGATTAGCCAATAGCTGATAGCGAAAGATGCGTATGATGCTATATAAAAACTATCTAAATTATAAAAAAGACTGTACCGTTCATTTTCAGAATTGAGCGTTACCGATACATTCTGAACAGTCAGGTTGTCACGTGGATTATTGATTATATCTTAACAATAAACTATGAAATTAAACAGAATCTTGGCAAATTGCCAATCAAGTTATTTATTTATTCTTCGCTGTTTTCTGGCCATATCATAAAGTCAATTAAACATAATAAAAGTGAGTACATGAGTTAGAAATTTGAAGCAATACCATTCGTTTTTATTTTTAAATCCATACGTATAGATATAACTGACTGTTTTTCATAAAGGCACTATTTTACAGCAAGTACAAGTTAAACAAAGTACAAATTTAACATTTCGGACCCATTAAGAAACTTATGAAAATCACATTCAGTCATTCATAACCTATTAAAGCAATTCAATGCTTGAAAGAATATTTGTAAAAATACTTTCCTTACAGCCACAGATAACTCCAGCATCATTCGAATGGTCACAATTAACACCACTCGACCACGACATAGAACAGTTCGAAATGTCTGCCTCACTTCCTGTACATTGCAAATCTGACAACCAGACACGTCCATTGCCTCTTCCAAATAATGAGCCAGATACCGCTTTTCCTGTTACATTACTAAAATGATACATAAATTGTTATCAATACTAGACATGGCTTAGACTCTGTTTTTGATTTTAAACGATTAAAAATGGATTTTGAATAGAAGTTTGATAATTTGTAGAAAATGTTATATATGCCTTATGAATAGCACATTCGTTTCCTATTTTGTATGGGGAAGGTAGTTTTATGGTCTGTTCTTATCTCAGATGAACAGTTTAAATAAAACCGCTTTTGGGACAATTAACTTTTTGTTTGTGTGTTTTTGTTGCTTGTTTTTCCATTGGTTTTGCAGTATCTCTTCTCCAGAATTTGATAGTCACAACCGTATCTCAGTGTTGTTATATGTTTCCCAATATTTGAAGCCATTATTTATTTTATTTATTTATTTATCTATCTATTTTTAGGATTTTTAAGACGATGCTCGGGTGCACATAAATTGAAAATTCTGAAATCTCTCAGAAATAGACTCAAATGAGCCAAGTCTGCACTTTTGTGTGTGTGCTCATTGTACACTTTTTCTCTGAGTATTAACAGTTATGAACTTATTGCCAACAAATCAGTATTGTTCAGTTTTGAACAATTAAATCTCATTAATATAAAGGAGCATAATCGTGAGAATAAATTTGAACTAACTTCAAATGTATACTTTATAAATACACATGTACCTCTCAAAGGGATATGAGGAGAGCATTTTGCAAATAACAACAGCGTCATTATCATCCCAATTTGTATCACAAACTGAGCCCCACTGTCCATTATGTAACACTTCTATACGTCCAATACCTTTATGTGGACCATCAGCAAGACGAACTTGTATTCCATCTAAGTTACAAAAAGGGAAACAAATCCAATGGAATTTATTACTCAATTTAATATGTACATTAATATTCGGTTTATAAGCAGCATGTCGCTGCTTAACACAAACAATATGCTTAAACCGTTCGGTTTATGTTAAACATATCATTTCCCTTTTTGAGATTATCATTAATTTGTACAAACAAAACAAGTCAAAGCGCAGTTTATTCAGTTGCCATAGGGTAGTTTATTTACTTGCAATAGGGATATCTATTTAACTGCAATGGGACATTTATTTATTTACCATGACAGTTTATTTACAATTATTGCTTTGCTGTATTCCGGTGTTTTCCTACTACTAAGTACTAAAAAATCTACTATGATCTTGTTCTACAAGAGGATACATTATCAGCAGTGAAAGAAATAAATGGATGTAATCACGACAAAAATATACCAAATATACGACTCATCAAATCATATGTTTAATAGATATATCTTTTCTTTTAATCATGGAAATCGAAACCATGAATATATATATTATACCTCAAGTTTGAAATTGTAAGTAACTTCAAGTTGTAATAAGATTGTAAAAGTTGATATCATTATGCATAGCATACCACATTTCAAACCAACTGCATTTGAGGCCGAGCACGTGGTCTGGTAAGAAGACACACACTGAGTTATGTCCTTTTCATTTCCGACACATTTAACTTGATCAAGAAAGCCAGTTTTAGTGTCACCAAAGTAATTGGACTGATATACGTAATGTTTCACGTCACTAGAAGATAAAATGACATGTATATATAAAAGATCTGACCAACAAAATACTTAAGGTTACGTCAACCAAATATTCATTAATGCAAATTTCGCCGTTTTCCATATGCAAGGAATCATCAAAATTGTTTTGTATCAATACAACTTTAGCATCACCTGGAATTTCTCCAAGTATAAAAAATCAGGATACATGTATAATAAAAAAAACTAAATAAGAAATTAATATGAGAATACCTTCATATTCGATGCATTGTACAGGATATATATTTTGTATTCAATTGCACCGTAGCAAAATGGTGGATGTTGTAAGGGTCTGATGCGTAACGTTATCATCACGAGTAAAAAATATGATGGCAGTTCGACACATATATGCTGCATTGGCACGACAGGTTTTCCTTAACAAAATAAACGCGTTTGATATAAAAGATAAAGTAAATTAAGATTACGTTAAATTGTATCCGAGCATGTTACATACAACACGTGCTTCGTTCTGTCCAAAGTCTGGATCACAAACTGTTCGCCAACTTCCCTCGTAATTTATTTCCAATGTTCCATCCCAATCTCCCGAGCCACCGAAAAGGCGAACTTTTGTAGCCTCTGTCAAAAATAAAGTCAGTAGACTTATATAAGTTTTAGATAAATAAACTTTATTAAAGCGCTCTAAATTTAAAACTTTGGAATTTTTTGACAGTTTCAATGATAGTTGAAATAAAACTCACAATGAAAATGTCTCATTAACTTAAATTGTTTCTTTCTTAAATGTAATCGTGTACATATAACTAGTATTCTACCCTTTCTATATCAAGTATTTTTGAACAATAAATTCTTAACAAGCAAAATTTAGCCTAAGTTTATTTATGTCATTTGTTTCATAACCTTGATCTAAAAAATGAATAAATACTAGAACAACAACATTAAAGGCCTTTTTGCCATATTTTAAAGATTTACAATTATATTTGAGAAGCCTAGAAAGACTACTGCCACTCACCGCATTTTATTGATACGTCATTGGTATGGCTACAAGTATGATTATCCCAGCTTCCATGACTACAATACTCAATATCTGCTTCACTACCAGAGCAGCCCAAAGTGTTTAACCAAACTGGCCCTTGCCCTCCTGTAACATTCCTATGTATGCTCAAGGCGCTACATTGAAAGCAAAACTATTTTGTATAATATTCCAAAATGTGACAATACCTAGATACACATGTATAGAACAAATAAGGTGACTATAGATTATATGTCGTATTGCCATAAAAGATAAGTGAAACACATATTTGATTACTTTGGCCGCAGTGTGGTAAAACTGTTGGTAAAAATATATTTGAGAATGTTAAAGTAAAATGTTAATATTTAATATATTAATGTATATATTCATGTATATATACATGAAAAATGATCATAATTACTGCATCTGTATGTTATATTCATTTTATCATTCATACAAAACTCTGCCATTAAAAAACTTGGTCCTGCTCTTTTGTTTAAAAAATGTAAGCATCTTAAAAGATAAATAAATAAATAAAAACTAGATAAATAAATAAATAAGATGGTACTTTACTTTTTATTAAATCCAAGCATATGGCAAAGAACATTGGCATCGTTTTGTGTAAAATGAGCCCCACATACTGTCCCCCAAACACCATTATGATGAACCTCTACTCGACCCTCTGACGGAAGTGTATTGCCAACCAGTCGAACCGATGTGTGATCTACAGTGCGTAGAAAACAAGTGCGATTGGAACAGTAACATTATGACAAGTTCATAACATAAAGTCATGAGTTCAATGATAGTAACTAGAATGGATAAAAAATCTGATTTCGACAAATAACTTAAATATTCTTGCTCTTTATCCGTATATTTAGGAATTGTCAAAGAACTTCGTTTCTTTTTCTTTATGTAAGGAATCAAGAAAAACCGGTTAGGTGGACCGATCGCGGAAATATGACAAAAAATGCGTAAAATTTGCCATAAAACCAACCAGCCAACTAATCAATCAACAAACTAACCAACCAACCACACCATACAACATTATTTATTTTAAAATCAGCATGTACTTTAAAACTCATGTCTGTATAAAAAGAAGTTACAGGACAAAAGTTACATACGCAAGAGGTTTTTAAATTCTTAAACTTTACGTCTTGTTTTACACTACAAACACGCATTATAAAACGAAATTATCAAGCAAGTCTGATAATAACTTACTGCTGCATATTATTCCGACAGAGTTATTATGATTGCAAGCTGTATTGTGTCCTATTGATTGGGCAAATCGTGGGCAAGATCGTATGTCAGTTTCCGTTCCCAAACACCCCATATTTCCTGTCCATGTAGTTCCGTAGTTCAACTGTCCATAGCGAAACCCATCTACTACCACTCTATGTAACATAAAACAAAATAGAAACAATCTAAAAGTGGCCCCACTTTTAAGGTTTTTGTATATGAAGGGATTTTTTTTTCAAGACCTGTGTAACATTTGATGTAGGTAATTTCTGTGCAATTATTTCAGATCAATCGCTCACTCCGTTTTTTCCTCATTTTAATTGTGCGAATGGGTCCATCCATCCGCTTTCAACGCAAAATTGGGCTAAGAATTGCAAAAAAATCGATTTTCAATTCATTTCTGAGTATATTTAATATTCTTCCGTTTTAAGTGCTGCAAACGATTTAATAAAGAATTTTATAATGTATTTTATGTTTTAAGGCTTTTTAAAAGCAGTTGAGCTCCATTTAGGTTAAATTATTTGGCCAATTGTTGCAGCTTTTGAACATAGCGTGCTTATAAAATACTTTTCATGAAATCGAAGCTATTTTTAATGTTAAAATCTTTACCGGATTATCCGAAGTTCACCTACCCGGTTGAAAAACCTTTCATTTTACATACAACAGTCGCATCTTGGTTCGTGAAAGAACTCCCTCTACAGAATGTTCCCGAAATGCCATTATATTTAAAGTCTAACACTCCTTCAAAATTACCTTGACCTCCAATTAATCGATGAGGTATCAAATCTGTCAAATAGATATTATAATTATTACACAAAGACTTTATTTTATGTTTGTACTTAGATATATTTTAACAATCAATAATGCAACGTGTTCGTTATAATTTTATATGCTGATGATCATATATAAACTAGTCATACTATATAATTGCAAAAGATTGTTTTATCATTCAAAAGTTAATTTCCAATTATAAATAATGCTTTTTGGAACTTATGATATTGATAAATCATAATTTGAGCATCATATTTATGATATGAAACCATAAAATTTGTGTTACAGGATCTTTAATAATGTTTGCAAACATGGTGCTTTATATTACATAGAGAGAAAAATATGACGTTCCCAATCGGAACGTCCTCAGTTATTATCTATAATATCCTAGGAGTTAATGGAAATTGAAAGTAGTTCTACCACGTGGTTTCAGATGTAAACATAAACAGAGAGTGTAATTTTCGATAATGTAAAACAAATGTATATGCATGACATCCAAAGGAAAATAAAGGATTGTCGTATTACGCAGATGTTTTTACATTTTAATAGTATATAAATATACAGCCTGTACAAGTCAAGTACCAAATTCGAACTCTCCAGACTGGGCGTTGAGACCACTATTTATAATGACAGCTATTAACATAAAATGTTATGAAACACGTATATTCTCATGTACATTATAAAACTTTCTGACATTTATTACCACCCAGTCCAGCTTGCATGTATATTGTCAAATAATATACATAAATCTTTGTCATGTTTCAAGTTCATATTATAATAAAATACAAGCACTTATACTAAAATCTTTGTTGTCTTTCTTTTGAATTATATAAAATGTATAACTAAGTAAACTTAAAATGCAATATGCAACAGTATGTTTCGGTACAATAATGATTGAAAATATGTCTGACAACCATTTTTAATTTAAATATGCCAGCTGATATACAATTTTAAACAAATCCTACTTATGATAACGATATTATGGATTACATTGAGATATTCAGTCTGTGGTCAAAATTATAAAATATATCCCATTTTTTAAACACATTATGTTCAGTGGTGAAAACATACTGTTGTCTAATACCGTCATTAAGTTAATATCAGATGATATACTGAACGGTCCTAACGTAATTATGTTCAGTTAAAATGCCATGCTTTAATAATTATTCGCAGTTAAAAAGAATTTTTCTTGGTAGGATTGTCATTATTTTCAGTTCATATAGTATGTTGTTGGATGGCACTGTCATTTTATGCTGTTTAGGAAAGAGATGTTGAATTTAGTTGTTCTTATATTTTGTTAAGATAATCCGCTATAAGTAATGATACTTTTATCTTTGGTCATTAATATGTATTAGTGCGCATGCATTTGTGGAAAGTATTCACTCTGTGAATATTTTATTCGGAACAAGTCCAGTCGACATTTGTTTCTCTGTCACTGTAGACGGAACACACTTGCATTTGGTAAAAAAATAGTTTCGTCACATTTTAGTAAGCTATTGGAAACTGTGTGTGAAAATTACTATTTACTTTTCAAGCGACTTATTACCCATAAATTGTTCGTTTAACTTACTATACACTTGCAAAGAACATTTGTAGACAGACCTTCATACAATATTTTACATGGGCTTCTACAAGAACAGATGTCAATAAAATGATTGAGTTGGTGTCTTAAGTGCAGAAAGAAAGCTTATTTTCATTTATTTTGGTACCAAGTTATACCGCATTGTGCGAATTACTATTACTGCATGTGCAATTTTCACATAATTCAAACAATGTTCTCAAAAACCACAAAACGTAGGATAATGCACTTTGTATTGCCATTTGAAGAAACTTACCGCGCATATGATACGCTACGTTTTGTTTTGATTTGAGAAACGTTTGTCACCTAAATTTAACATAATAAGGTACTTAACGGGACTTAGCAGTCGCCATTTTTTTTCTCGTGGGTATTACTATACAAAGTCACGTGATTCACCCCGTAAGCTTCTTTGTGTAAAACATTTAACACATACTTACCGTTCCGACACCCTGGTCCGGCATTATAAGTATTACAATAGCAATGATAATGATTTGAACTGTAGTACTGACATGAGCCATGGTAACACTCACTACAACTTTTGACCTCGACGTATGCTTAAGAAAATATATTGAAATGGTTAATTTTATTTATAAATATTCATATAATTCATATATAATATGTCTATAGCTAATGGGCATACACTTCTGAGACTTCAACTCACAAGGTCTTTATTCCAGTACTATACTTAGTAAGCAGTGTAACAGATTTTTTTCTTCACAGATGTAAGTAGGATTTTTGTAAAAATTATGAAGAACAAAATATTGTCCAAAAATACAAGGAAAAGGAGAACCCTTCGTAATTATTTAATACAATGCAAACAATTTTTTTCTTTTCTTACAGTTCGCAAATGACTATAATCTGTTCACAAATAATCGCTGTGTTCAAAAAGACCTAATTACAGGAAATGTTTTTCTTTTTGTTGTATCATACATTTTGTTGATATTTTTAGAGGTTCGGAGGCCTTTAACTATAATAATAAAAACGGATGTATACAAACCATCTGAAACGTGAATGCACAGGACCACAAATAACTGCAAATAAAAAACAAAAGCATTTGCTATTAATTAGGTACTTAAGACTTTGATCAGTTATATCACAACTCAAAATTGTTTGGAACATCATTAAATTATCAAATTATTTATATTTTAAAATATACTTACAAACATATGTAAGGTTAAAACAATGGCGAATGCTACATATTGACAAAACGAAAATGTATGATAGAATTAAAAAAAAAAAACTTTGCATGATCTTAGAATATTATATTATGCTTAAACATTTTCAACGAAAATATGCAGGGGTCGCTTTCCACTTTTTCATGATATCTGTCCTTAAATTTGAGTTTGATTGTGTCCATTGCTTTAAGCTTACAGACACACTCTCGAATCTGGTCCTGGAACCAACCAGTACTGTGGCAATGAGTTTCTTGCTCAAGGAACAGCGGCTTTCTACTATCAGGGTTTGAACTCACGCGACTCGAATTTTTTACATTATTAGTCTTAATTGTTTACCATTCGACTATGCTGCAATTCTTATAAATACCTTACACTAAGTACATATGCCTGGCAAAATTTATTTGATTTTACTATTGATTCATGATTTCATTTTCTACTTGATCACTATATCATTAAATTTGATTAAACTTGGTTGTTGTGGGTGTTTTTTTTTAAATTATTTAAAGAGACTGAAAATTCCTTTCAGGAAATTGGCATAGCTTTCGGGAAAAAACATAAATCGGTATCGCTTTCGGAGGAAAAGATGGAAAAATACTCTCATTTTTTCATTTAGATTTCTTTTAAAAATCATTCATAAGGAAGTGAGCGACACGAAAAGTAGAACAAATATGCGTTCCTTAACTTAACCGTGAATCGTCTACCCATTAACTAAGCAAAACCTTTAAATTCGCTTAAAATGTTTATGTTATCATATCCTAAGATCATACAAAGATTAAGATATTCTACTTTACAGTTTTATTTCTGCCCTGATATTTATCAGTAACTAAAGCATACGCCTTTAAACAGGTTGAAAGGTTTTATCAATTAATATTTAACAAACAGGCAATTGAAAGCGAATATTATTTTATAAATGCAAATTAAGGGTTTCTCTCTATATTCGAAGAAGATTTGTCAAACCAGGGCCTTTTAAATAGATTCTATTTGAAAGACCCTGGTCAAACATAATTATTTATGCATATAATGCGATAAAATTAATCGATCAATTCTGTGGCAAAAATTGATAAATCAAAACATAAGTACAAAAATGATTAAGAAATATATGTATTCTGTTGTTCGCTCTGCATTGAAACATAATGGAAAAGCCCATTCCAGTTTTTTATCAACTCACATCAAGGGGTCAAGCAGGGAGACCCTTGTTCTTCTCTTATGTTCGTGAATGACAATGGCACATATGTATACATATATTGACGATTTATTTTTATTCAACGAACTTAAATTTTAATTATTATTATATGCTGATGACCAAGTATTATTTACTACCACACCTGAATCTTTACAGCATTTTAAGTGATGTAGAAAATTACTGCAATACATTTTGTTTAAAAATAAACACAAGTAAAACTAATGTCATGATTTTGAAAAAGGAAAGACCGACAGGTCACAATTACTATCTCTATATCGAAAAAAATAAGAGATTGTTTCAGCCTTTAAATACTTGGGTGTCTGCGTATTTAAAAACTGTAATTGGTATAGAACGCAAAAACTGTATTGCAGAACATGTGTCAAAAGCTTTATATCGTTAATTTTCTATTTTTAATCAATACGAATTAAAGGTTTCTGCAAAATGTAAATTATTTGATACAATGATATCATCTATACTAAACTAATACTCGGAAATATGGAGTGGAAACAAAGGTAAAGATATTGAACTGATTCATACTAAATTTTGTTAAAAAATACTTGTCGTAAATAATTCCACAAACCTAATCGGACTCTATAGTGAACTCGGTAGATTTCCAATGAAAATAGTAAGACACGTTAATGTGATTAAGTATTGGTGTAGATTACAAATATTGAATATAAATCTGATATGAAACAAATAAATAACATGATAGTAAGTGATTTAGATAGAAATATTACATATAAAGGTTCTAATTGGGGATTTCAGATAAAAATAATTTTAGATAATTTAGGGATGTCAGATATTTGACGAAATCAAGGAAGCAAGGAACATATATTGAATGCTATTAAACAAAGAATATTTTGATCAATATACCCAAGTTTGTTATAGTGAAATTTAATAACTCACAGAGACTTTAAACTTGTAGTAGATTTAAACAATCATTTGAACTTGAATCATATCTTGATAATTATACGATAGACAAAAAAGTTCAAAATAGCACTAACGAGGTTTCGCCTATCCTTACATAACTTAGTGATTGAACGAGGAACGCATAATAATGTAATATAAGGAATAGCAGAATGTGTAAATTTTGTAATCTATATATGATTGAAAACGAATATCAATGTTTATTAACTTGCTCATTATACTCACATATTTGAAACGTAATCATAAGACGTGGCCATCTTCAAATAAATTTGAACAGTTTATGATGACAAAAAATAAAAAAGAAATCGCAAATCTCTCGAAATACATATACTTTGCAAATAAACTTAAAAAAGAACTTGACTAATTAATTATCAGGTTTTTTTCCCCTAGTTTTTCCTTGAAAATATGTATTACTTCCTCTATTTTACTTCTCTTTTGACATTTTGCAATTAATATATTATAACATTATTATTATACAAACGCTACTCATACAAAACAGGTTTCTCTGTTAAATTACTGTTATTGTTTAATTGTGACTTTTCTTTTTTCTTAGAACTGGAAGTGTTTATATTTCATGTGTAACTACTACAGATGTTAATATGTAGGCTAGAATTGATATTAGAAATTGCTTTATGCTAAATAAATGTTGTTGTTGTTGTTGTAATTACGATAAATTGAAGCATGTAAATCCGTGAATTACTGGTTAATTTGTCATAAGTCGTTAATGCTCGTAATATGATCCATTTATACTAAACATCTTTTAATAATGTCACCACATTATATCGTCTTCTGCATTTAGCTTTTTTACAAATTAAGAAAATTTTGGCCAAGATGTAACATACATAACGGAATATCGCTCGGCAAAGTTCAAATTCTGTAATCACCGAAACGAAAGAATGTAGCTGCCTAAAATACAAAAAAAAAATGGTGAAATGATAATTCGTTTGTTCCGTAATCTGACAGACATTACATGGATTTTATAGACTTTCATACGGATTCAAGAGCTTGCTGTTCAATCAATTTCGTTTTCTTATAACAGTCTAAAGAACAGACAACATTTGTGTGCGGCCGCCTAGATGACTGGCGGTCAGGCATCCCTCAGAAATTTTGAAATTATCATTAAGAAAATCTGACCTGACTTTATTATCGGACATTATATGAAAAGTTATTTTGAATGTAGTGTTCGCTCTGGGACAATGTATGAAAGCCCAGAATAAACTGAATCTCTATGACATGCATATCTGCAGAAGAATATGAATTTAATTAAGATAATAGAGGTTAGGAAGGATAGATCATATTGATAGAGTAATACCTTTTAGTTTTATTTGAATAAGTCAAAGCATTTACAACTGTATATGAATTGGTATTTAATAGACAAAAATATATATAAAATCCCGTTTTCATTTGTACATCGTACGTGTGCTTATAAAGCAAAAACTATCTAGACTTATTAAATGAATGAAACAAATCCCGTTCTCATTTACAAGTGAATAAACGACAAAACCCCACACCCAAAATCAAATAGACTGGATAAAACACAACAGTTGAATTTTATAGAGAGGCTTAAACCCCACACTTTTATAGAGTGGACATAACTCTACACCTTAAAATTTTATAGTGTGAACATAGCCTAACACTATTTATAACTAATTTGTATAGATTTTGATGGACAATATAATAACACTCAAAATGATTCACGAAATATATATACGGGTTTTAAAAGAATGTTAATTTCTTTATCAGTATTTGCAAATTAAAATATTGACTTCGGAAAAGGAAAATACATTATATGTGTTTAGAACAATAATTCGACTGCAATACAGACCTGGTATAACGTGCTTTTTTGCGAAGGGCGGCCGTTGTATATAACAAAAAGCCCTGGTCCCCGTTAGAATTAAAAATACGTTACTGAGTTTAGAAGATATATGATAAAAGGAATTATTAATAAAGGTATTTTATCAAAGGTATTTTATCATGCCTTAAATGGCTAGCGCCTGAGATAATATGTGTCTGATTCAGGCTATGTTATCCCGTACATCCTTGTCAGCGACCAATATCAAATTGTATCGTGATATCTAAATATTCAGTTCTATAAAGGTTTGTAATATCAACTTCAGTATCATATGTCAATAATCATTTATTAACTAGCATTTTGATATAATTTTTACATTTTAAAATAAATATTATATGATTTGATTACTTACAAACAGTTTTCCCAAAGGAGCCATCTTATCGGTAAAATGTATGACGTTCTCTGTTAGTGCGCAGGCAAGTAGGGCGCAATTTCTTATCATTTGACCTGAGCAGTACCATCGAATGGAAGATTTGCTTTTTCAAAATTATAGTGTAATTGAACAGATAGCGATATATTGCTAGTAAGTTATTCATTTATATAATTATATATTAAAACATATTTTTTAAAAAGTTTTAATATATTCATGCCTACTATGATAATACATACATGTCGTTTATACATTTTGAAATAATACACTTAAATGCGTGTTAGCTTATATCGAACTTTTTTTATAATTCATACTAAATATAAAATAAATAACTTTTATCACATACCATTGCTGCTTTTGCGACTCCCTAAAAACAGTATTGCCACGTCGTACATACTCGTATATTTTGATTGGACGTCATTTGCGCTATACAACCACAGCGTAAAGACGTGCTAAATGGTAGCGTTATACTATAAATAAAAGAAGTGATTCTGTTTTATTACGAACAGTTCTAATTTTGGGGATGTGATGAGTAGAATATTATATACGTGTAGCTTCATCACCAAATCTATTGAATTCAGCATACACCTCAATCTAGTCTAAAAAGTATATTTATTATGAAAAGCAACAGCATAATTCTCTTTCAAAAATGGGGCCATTAGTACTGCTGAGATATTTTTAATTTACTTTGAATAAGTTAAGATAAGAAAAAGCAAAATCAAAAAACCTGTGAACTCTTGTCACGTGAATTGCTGCACAAATAATTTATATTTGGTAGATTATTTGCTTACTAGTTAAATTGCACATTAAACAAAATATTATAGCGGTAACATATAGCAAATATTCCGGCTAAAGGCCGTCTAAAATTAGTTTGATTTTCTGTAAAGTTTGCCATAACAGACTTCATGAATTTCATTGATCATTTAAAAATAACAAACTGAAACCTTGGAAACACATTGGCCATTCTAAAATAAGTAAAATAATATAAAGGATCTTTCTGAAATGGTGGTGGTGTTGGTGTTGGTAGTTTTCACTCCGGATCGTGACAGTAAACCACACTGAATTTATCAGACCACCGTTCAGCAACCGCATCGTTACTAGACAGGCTATCAAGCAGTCAAGCAGTTTACCAGTACTAGCCTTCACTTTCGAAAGGAACTGATAACTTCTGTACACTGCGAATGACCGTAGAAAGGATTTCATGATCAATCACAACTAAAGTGACCTGCACCTGAATCGAACCCGTTCCACAGTCCAACGAACGCACAACCTATTTAGCTAACAGGACGACTTTCTGAATTTGTATACGCGCCTTATTTTAATTAATCTTAAGTTCCGGAAAGGAAGTTCTTCCTTATGTGTTTCAGATTTTTAAGTTCTCTTGCCGTTCTAGTTAAGTCTCTTAGATATTTAAGTCCTCCCACACATAATTTTACATAGCTTTTAAAATATCATTATTGGGTTATAAGTTTTGTTCTTAATAACGAGACCACCAATAACGTTAACGTTAAATTCATGCTTATGAAAATGTCGAAAAACGTAAAAAGTGATTTATCCGGCATTCTCCGTAATTTATGAACTATTCAGGTGATATAAAGTTTATAATTTTCAAATACGTTTTGCATAACATAGCATAATCTTTTTTCTCTCAATACATGTATACATGCAAATATGCACAGTAACAAATTTTTATATAACCACCAACAATTAAGTGGTTTGTAAATTGTAATTGTTTTACATTACACAGTTTGGTAACTTTTTAAGTGTCTTTCGGTATTTCCTTCGGTGTTGCAAATCATCGGCAAAACGATCACACTTGTTTTGATTTAAGTAAACGTAATTTGTTTCAGAAATTCTCTCTAGATATAAATGACAGTCAGAGTTATACATATTGCTAAATAAATTCTGTTTTAACCTTAACCAACATTCATAATCTTAAAGCTACCTGACCTCTATGGGATATACAAGGGGTACTGGTAAAAATATACGGGGTCATAGTAAAGGGTGTTATGACAATATTTTGGCGGATAAATTAACAAATGAGAATCCTTCTTTTATTCATTTCATCACTGTGTATGTCCCAGGAAGTCAAGCTGAAATCAGATAGTCTTCGTCTAATATTAAATAGTTTATTAATTGAAATAATACAGTCCGACCTCATCAATATGAATGCAGTAAGAATTTATATTAGTTTTGTACATATTTAAAATAAGTTTATCATCGGTTTACATGACGATTTCCTTGTGGTCAGTTAAGTAGTCTTACTGCAATGCTTTCCCGCTAATAAAATTCTAACATCGGCCAATATCGTAATAAATCGGTCATTTCTGGAATGTTATTTTTTTCACAATCTTCGGTATTCAATAATTTTAGCCATTTGTAAGCGGAATTTAGTATAAAGCGATTAAAGGATAAGTGACTATAAATAATCTAATGCCCAAGATTTTGAAAAAAAATAACGTTCTGGAAATAACCGATTTGCTACGATATTGGCCGATGTTAGAATCTTTAAGGCGGAAAGCATTACAGTAAGACTACCTTAACTCAGGTCAGGTCATTGTCTGCAAATAACGTCAATTTGATTGTGTACAATTTTTCAAAATTGATTAAACTTAAAGTATGTCAAATTATTTAGTACGTGTAAAAGACACGATTGTTTCATGACAAACAGCAGATGTAGGTATCTCATACCTTATCTAATTCTGGTTCTTTCGGTTTCTATTAAAGGTATGAAATAATTTGAACTAATTTAAACTAATGTGAACATTCCAACTTTAGCCAGATTACCGATATAGGCATTGCGTCACTTCTTTAAGATTTTGATAATTATTTTGCAATACTTGTTTGAAAAATTAAAATAAAAAAATGAAATGAATAGAAAATGAATAAATAAAACTCTGATTCTTTTGCACGAATATTGTGTCCCAGGGTGAGAACAATGTGTAGGCTGACAGGAACTCGAACCCTGGACCATCGAAATACCGTTCCACGACTATACCGACTGAGCTTTACGGCCGCTTGCACATCTTCTCCTTTAAATATTGAGATGATCTGAACCGTTTTAGTAGGATTTTATATGTCAGTCTAAGTGTTGTTTTTTATTATTATTATTTTTATTTTATTTTGGGCAAAGCCAATTATTGTATCATGCAGGATGTTGACACCAATAATGTTAGAGCATTTTATACTTTCGTATAACCAGAAATTAGGGTTTTCTTTTAAAATTTCCATTTCTTTATTATTGTTGTTGACAAAAATCATGACACATTTTGTATGAGCTCAATACCTAGTTATAAATGCCTTTGGTAAGTTTTTAAGCATAAATGTTTTTTCTGTCAATATTTACTATCTATGATGGTATTTTTTATTCTTATACTTCTTTCCCGTTAACTTATTTGTTTTTGAGATACACTACAGTTAACAATTCTAATTATGTTATTTTTATTCATTGTTTTTTGTTTCGTTTTTGTTCTGGGTATACACATCACGATGTAAAAGTGTTAGTAATTGTTTATTCCTTTATTTATAATTGCATGGCTATACATAACTTTATTCTATTTCTAGGATATGAACCTATTGCTGTATCTGGCACGCTTTTTGGCGAGTATATATTACAGACACTTACTGTTGCTATAAATACTCTTTAACTTCCCTCGTGGGATACCCACGGTCGAACCATACAATATCTATCAGTACATGCTAATCAACCGCGGGTATCCGGCGAGGTTTTACTTCAAACTTGTGCATAAAACTGAACATAACACACGAGAAAGTGAACATTTAACACAAATAAAATGAATATGAAATGTATTAATTGAACATATAAACGTAATGAATATAAATTGAACATACACATAGACATAATGAGATGATATAAATACAAATTACCTTTCAATAATTTATTAATTTGTATCGACCGAATAAATATTTCACGAACAGACCAGAACCAAATAGAACAATTATTATCTTTCTCAGTTGAAACCTAGTTACACGAGTATAAAAATATACCCGTGTACAGTGCTCCAATATATGTATGTAAACATCCATATTATATGTTATTTTGGTTTTGGAGTGATATATGTGGCAGGTAATATATCCACATATATCACTCCAAAACCAAAATAATAATTTTATCACCCTTCCCCTGCCGAGTTTAGACGATTTTTAAAAAAAAATCATTGCTGTTTCAAATGAAACGTCGATATAAGATTCCCTTTAGGGTACCTCTTCATCACAACATGACGTCACATAAATACATGACGTATTTTCCCCGTACCTAACGAATGTAAACAAGAACAGTTGAAGAACTATTGAACGCACTTTTTTATAATTAATATCAAGCTTTCACAAGGTCATATTTGTTTTCAATACTGATAGGAATATGTATCATTACTCTACTTTGGTAAATATTTATCATTTGACAGTTAAAAAGTGCTTGTAAATCGGAATTTACACCGCGTAAAATCGAACCGTACGCGCATCTTCTCAGCGCATGTTGTTTACAACGATGGGTATCCAACGGGGAAATTTAGTGTGTATATTACCCGTCTGGCTCGGTTATATCAATTTCTTTCGGGTGATCAATATCCAATCAAAAAGGCGGAAAAAATCTGGAAGGGTAATAAAGACTTATTCTGGAATAACTGCAAATCAAACATATTTTGGACTTTTCTGGTCCGAACAGACTTTTGCATACAAATGTTATCCGGAATTTGGCAAATGTGGGTTTTCCCCAGCCTATTAAAAACAAAAACAACTTTTACCGTTAACTTCACGATACACTACCCGTCGAAACAGATTAGTCAACCTGTTGCGCTCATTTACAAAGCTGTAACTGTAAAAGTTTGTTTGTACCTATGGATTAGCTGGGAAAACCCAAAATATTCTTAATTCTGGAGTTAGTCTATTAAAAAATAAGTGCAACAGATTGACTAATCTTTTGTCAATGGGAGTGCATCATTAAGCTATAACGGTAAAAGTTTGTCTGTAGCGTGCGATTATCTCGGAAAACCCCACATTTG